CAGCTGTGCCACGGTGCAGACCCAGCCGTGCCACCGAGACGCTCGGCTTTGATCTCCTGGGGTTCAAAGGAAGCAAATCCACGAGGCTTGGCAACAAGCTTGGATTTCTTTTCCTTTTTTCCCCCCAAACCTGGGCAGTTCCTCGGAGCCCCAGACTCGGGCAGTTCCTGGAGCCAAGGACCCCCCGTGCCAGCCCCGCTCTGCCCCGTCCTGGCCCCGCAGCGCTCCCGTCGGGGGCGAAGCTGCTTTTAAAGCCCTTTCCCCTCGTGTGGACTCTGTCGTTTCTGTCTCTTCTCGTTAAATGGTTATTTTGTAATGACATCTGTCTCCTTATTAAAGAAACCAGCTGAAAGGAGCCCCGGATCCCTCTGGTTTTGCTGCTGGGGCTCAGCGGGGTGTCTGCGGTGGCCCAGGGCTGTGAGCCCAGGGATGATGGAGGGATGGAGGGACAAGGGGAACCCCGTGAGGACCCAGGTCCCCCCAAACACGAGTGTGCTCACACACATGGTGGGATGTCTCCCAGCAGCCTTGAGCCCTGGTGCCCTGGTTGGTCATGGCTGGCCCAGATGTGGGGTGCAGGTGGGAAGATATCAAAGGTCCCTACCAAATTCTTCACCCCCAACCAATCCAGTCTGGTCCATATATCATGTTTAGGTCCTGCTCTGCTTTGCAGAGGTGCTGGATGCCCCTAAACCCAAGGGGAAGAGCTCAAGCTGCAGGAACCACCTCCAAAGACTACAGAGAGATTTCTAACACCCTCACTTGGGACAGAGGCTCCAAGATGTGGCACCAGCACCCATGACTTTGCTATGGGTTTGTCATGACCAAGCTGCTGGGCAGAGCAAATACAGGGCTTGGCATCATGGGGAGAGATGGGTCTCAACCCCGTGGGGGTTCAGAGGCATCGGATTGGACCCCTCCTGTTCTCCTTCCCAGCTGGTGGGTGGCTTTCGGGGACATGCACCTACAGTTCCTTCATTTGAGGTTTCCCTGAACAGGCACGGAGGGGAGGGTGAGGTTGGCCATGAGGAAAAGGTTCTTGAGGCACCCAGAGGGTGGTGGAGCACTGGAACAGGCTCCCCAGGGAGGTGCTCATGACACCAAGCCTGACAAGATTCCAGCAGCATTTGGCCAAGGCCCTCAGGGACATGGTGTGAATGTTGGGATTGTCCTGTGCAGGGACAGGAGTTGGACTGGATGATCCTGGTGGGTCCCTCCCAACTCACAATGTTCTGTGATTCTATGATTCGATGTTCTAGGTGAACAGGGATGTAGCAGGTACGAAGCTGCAGAGCATTTGTGCTTTTACAGATAACTGATACTATTGTGCTATGGAAATTTGAGCAGAAACAAACATTTTAGGCTACACAATTTGCAGCTCCAGAAAGATGACGCAAAGTCAAAGCTTCTATTTTATCAACTCTTATTTTATTCATTTATAAATACTGTTGTGTTTACAAGCATCATAGATGTGAATATTATTCCCAAACTTTCAAACACATAATACTTATAATACTATATAACAACAACCAGTAAAACAAATCATTCATCTCAGGGTTTGAAAGGCCACTCAAAAGTTGCATAAAAATACATTCTCTCCCCATCTCGTAAGCTAATCCTGCTTCTCCAAGGAGTTTATTTACAAAGAGCCATCATCAAACTCGCAGCCACAATAGGCAGGTTCACCCCAAGCAATAAAAAGGAATTCACCCCAAGCAATTGCTTAGAAAAAACCCTTTGTGTTCTCCAATGGAGATCACGTCTGGCAAATGCTCAAATAGGGATCAGTTTTAAAAACCGCTGGCTTTGCACTCTGTCCCAGGCGCGGAGTGCAGGTGTCCTACTCGTTACCTCCTCAGTGCACTGGTTATGTCAGGCGTTAAGTGAGACCAAAAAAACTCATTCTCAAGGATTTGGTTTGCCATTGCATCGTCATCGTGAAACACTCACAGCTTTGGCTAGTCAGCGAGACTGAACTGTTGGTGGGTCCTCTACCCTCGTCAAGAGTTCAGGGGGTTAATCCAGTGCTAAGCAGACACTTCATCTAAAGTGGTTTGGCTTCGCATGGTGCCACGCAGAGGAATTACACCTTCCACACCCTGTTCCTTAGGATAAAACACAACGAGTGTCCTGGTAGGAAGGGGCAAAACGTCAGGGCACGATGGATTTGTCAGATTGGGTTGAACCCTCTCCCTAAAACAGACACCAGACTTCTTCACGCTGCCAGGAACCTGCCTCCTGAGAAGAACAGGATCTTCAGTCTGCAATCTCATCCCTTGTCCTGCTGGGATGCGTGACCTGAGGCGCACGCGTTGGGCACGTCAGCGCTGCGCCAACCACCAGCAGCCCCAGCAGGTGAGGATCTTCTTCTCCGCGTGGCACAGAAGGGACTGGACTCCTGTTTAGAGCTGAGAGCCCAAGTCTGAAGGAAGGAGTGGGTCACTAAGAGAAAAAACATCAAGAACCGCAGAAGTACTCACATAAAGAGTGCACCAAGTGGGAACGGCGTGCAGAAAAAGCATTGACCGGATCTCAAGACTTAAAGCTGTTAAATATAGCAGGGTTAAAATAAAGTCATATAAAAAGGATGCCTGGCGTAGGCAGTGCTCTGCAGAAACCCTGATGCCATTAACCAGCTTTGGTCTCTTCCTCCCCAAAGCACAGCAGCAGAGGAAGGGCCTCAGTGTACCAGGAGAAACAGCATCTCGTGCCATGAGCAAGTAACTCCATTGGCTGAAGAGTGGTGGAAGAGGAACCTCTGTCCAGAGCTGCCCGGGGAAAAATGGCAGCTCTGAGAAGAGCTAGAGAGGTGGAAACAGGCAGGACGGGGAGGGGTAGGGAAAAAAATGGAGAATTAGGGGGGAAAAAAACCCAACAAAATAAAACCAAAGAAAAAAAAAACCCAAGGGAGAGGAAAATAAACACACTTTCTGAAGCAATAACCAGCAAAAGGTTCCAAAAAGCCCAGGACTGACTGACAGAGATAAATTTTACCCTGTAGAGCAAGCTCAAGAATTATGCTCATGTTCAAGTATCTCATCTATCTCTCTCATAGCGGAGAGTCCCACCAGCCCGGTGGGAGCTGCCAGCCCACAGTCAGCAGAGGTGCCCACGAATGTGGATAGAACTTCTTCATGGCAACCTCCATGTTCAACGACTGAGACTGCAACTCTCAGCCAGACAGAGCAGGGAAATCAAAGAACAAAGGGAATGAAAGGATGAATACGGAAGGATGCAGATGGGAAAGTGATTTGGATACAGCAAGAAGTCTCTGAGAGGGAAGGTGTCGTTCGAGAGGAGTCTATTAAGGGGAAGCTCAACAGATCTGGTGACAGGTTACTGCTGCTATCATCAAAATCACAGAGCACGTAGAGGAGCCACTGTCTAAATGCCCATAGAGAGAACAATTTCAAACTGTTCTGCATACGTATAACATTACAAAGGTTTGGGGTTTTTTTTGAGGTTTCCTTCAAGGTCAAGGCTTATTGCAAGCTTCTGACAGATTAAAAGACTTTCATCCTAGCCATAGTTACCAGCAAGCCCAAGAGAAGCTCCTGTCCCCCTGCCACCAATGCACCCACAGCTTTCCAAGGCACATGGGAGGACAAGTGATCACTGCTTCATGCTCCTCTGCCTTGAAACCCAGATGGGCCAAGCTTCTTCACCAACAGATGGGTGGGTGGGACTGGACTCCAGCATTCCCTCCCTGTACAAACCAACCAGTGCTGCCTTTCACTTGGTCAGCCTCCTGCTGCAAATCAAAGCAAAGTACCTGAAATACCAGGTCAGACTCCTCTACAGGGCTCTGCCTTCATGAAAATAGCAGGAAAACGTCCCAGTTAGGACAGGGAGGCTGGTACCTGTGATAGATCCTGTCCTGAGGAGCAAGAGTCCAGATGCAATTAGCAGATGCTACAAACTACTGAGACAGGAGCCCTGGAAGGACACAACGTGATACCACATGCCCCAGGCTGTGGAGGAAAGGCAGGGAGAGGGATAAGGGGTCTGATGCCGAGAGTCAGCACTGGTGTTACTGAACAGGTTTGACTCCTGATCTTGAATCAAAGACTCGGTCTACTGGGGTGACAGGAGAAGAAGGTCTCTGTGCAAAGCAGCTGTCATCAGCCTGTTAGAGAAATCAGCCCTGGAGGCTTTCACAGCATCACATCTTAACCAGAGTCCCACATCTCAGGTGGGCTGATGTGCATACTCCGAGTCAGGTTCACATTTCCCACCTGGAAAGGGCCTGGATGTGCTGGATTAGTTCTTTAGGCGTCACTTTTGAAAGCAGGAGCTACCTACTCCAGATCAGAGTCCAACACCAAATACTGGGCTTCTGGAAGATGAAGTTTCGGCAGCTCAAACCCAGTCCTCACATTTCTCTTCTCCCTTGAATAAAATGTCCAAGATACCATGACATGCTTAAATTAAAAATAATAACATGGCAGGGGTGTGTGTTGTGGGGGAAACAAGGGCAGAAAGGGAATGTACAGCAAAGGGCGGGCAAGGCAGGTGTGACAGATTGATCCCATGGCTGAAGTGCTTGCTGTACGCTGGACAGGAGGAGAGAGGAGGGGAGGGTTGGTGGCGAGGTTGGCAGCTGGTGCAGGGCACCCCTCTTCGTCCTGCCTTTGCTCAGGATTCCTATTTGGAGAGCTTGCTGATGACACGAATGAGGGCTCCATTCTCATCTTTCAGCCTCTGGTTGTCTGACTTCAGCTCTGTCAAAATCTGCAGAGAGACAAAGACAAGGTGGGATCACAGCTTGGCGCTGTCGGCTGGACAAACCCTGCGGCTCAGGGGGAACAGCAGGGAGGTCACATCCCCTCCACCCAGCACACGGTGCACGTCAGTGATTTCTGTCACATCTCCAGGACTTTTACAAACTGTCTGTCAGGTGTGGAGGGGTCCGGAGGGGACTGGAGCAGAGCAAGGAGCTGGGGAGCCCCGGAGCTGGGAAGGCAGGAACCATTTCTGAGCTGTTTCATCCCAAACCTGCTCCCCGAGGTTATACAGGGCTCGGCAGAAAACGATAAAGTTGTTTTTTCTGATTTGTTTTTTTTTTTCCATTTTACCAGGACTAGAGGGGAAAACAAGGGTTTGAAATTCTCACTCGGGACTGGACCAAGCCGGGCTTGCAAAATCTCTTTAGAATAAACCCAAATCTCCTTGGGATCCCGTAGATGTTTAATGCCAACGCGCATGCTGCAGCTGGAGGACTGGTAGGACACACTGACACTGGAGATACCTCAGTGCTCAGTGGTTCAGGCTGGAGCTCAACCAAGGGTCCTAACACAGACAAAAGCCAGGGAGCTTTAGTTGGAAACAGAGGAAGAAACAGCTGTGACAAGAGCTTTCCAGCATATCTCAACCCTCCCGACTCCCTGTGCCTCCCACCCGGCAGGCAGGTGACCTTCAGGAGTGTCCCCAGCAGTTTGGGGGCTGGAAGGAGACCCCATGCTCCTGTCTTGGGGTGTGACACAGAAGGTGAAACTCACCCCGTGGGTGCCAGCAGCACTGAGAGGACCAGCCCCAGAGCTGCTGAAACAAGCCAGAGTGGAGGGGGTCACACGCAGGAACAGCACTGGTAGGAGCTCAGTGGTGACTTGAGGAGGATCTTAGAGGAATTCCTCCAAATTCAAACTCTCCACTAAACCTTCTCCTTCCTCCTAAGCCGGAGTTTCAGCTCTGACCACAGCCTCCTGCCCATTCCTCTCTCTGCAGCCCCATCATGACCAAAGCCATGAGCACAGGCAGCTCCTGGGGCAGACGCCAGCTCCCACCGAAGCAATTCCCTCCTTTCACACTCAGGACAAGCCACGCTGGTCCCAACGCGCCCAACCCCGTCCCCGCTGGCGCTGCTGGTGGGTGCTCCGGACAGGAGGTTTTGAGAGAGAGAGGAGAGGAAAACTGCAGCGTGGTGGATACTGGGGAAAGGGGAAAACTACGTGATGGGCTGGCTGGAGCTTCAGCTTGTGATGCTGGACCTAGTGAGGGTGTGACAGGGACACCTCCACCACAGGGCTGTCATCAGGACAGGTGTCCTAACTCTACACAACTTTCAGAGAGTCTGTGGAGTCGCCTTCTCTGGAGATACTCCAAACCCATCTGGATGTAGTCCTGTGCAACCTGCTCGAGATGAACCTGCTCTGGCAGGGGGACTGGACTAGATGATCTCCTGAGGTCCCTTTCAACCCCATCATTCTGTGACTCTGTAAGCTCTCATGGCCAGATGAGAGGCATCGCCCATCACCAAAGAGCTCAGGAGCCCAGAGGAATGGCACAGCACTTGCTGCCTCACTCTGCACTCCTCCGTTTCCTCCTGAGCTTCATCTAACACCCACAACAAGCACAGTGCTGTCCAGTCCAGCACACTGGGATGGTTCAACCACCTACTGGGGTCTGCAGATGGACAGTTCCTGTCCTCTACGTCACCACTTGGGGTGGCTTTGCAGTCCTGAATGTGTCCATCACTCCAATAAAGTAACTACAGGGAGTTCTGCCACTTGCTTTGGTAGAGATAATCTGTCACAGGTTCCCAGAGGCCACATCAGAGAGCAACCACCTCACTTTGACAGCTTCCTGGAAGCTCTGATGGTGGCTGTGTCCTACACACATGCTTCAGTGCAACTCTGGTGAATATGGGAACAGATGATCCTTGTGGGTCCCTTCCAACTCACAATGTTCTATGATTCTATGATCTATGTAAAGCAAGTGCTTCTTGAAAAGTCTCCCAGCTGTAACCTCACTCATCAGTTCCTAGTGAAGCTTTCTGAAAAAAATCAGCTTTATAAATAAACTTCATTCCTCCCAGGCCAAGGGCATTCCCACCTCTGAAGCAAAGCACCTCAGCTTGGTTGTAACAAACAGCATGTGAAGCAGGATGGCAACGCAGAGGCCTGAAAACTGAAACTTGATAAACATCACACTGGAAATGGTAAGGAGGGATGTGGCACAGGATGGGGGACATCAAGGTGACCATGATGCAGTGTCGGTGTAAAGTGAGTGTTGGGTTAGAGGCTGGTGTGAGCAGTGGTGCCGCGTGTCACCTGTGACACCGGAGAAAGCGGCACTTCAGAAATGACATGGATTTTGGAAAATGAGATTCTTTGAAAAGCACCACTGCTGCAAGAGCGTGGCAAATCTGTCAGGGTTTAACAGTGACATTACTGCAGAGCTGTGATGTCTAAGGACACCGGTGAGACAGGGTTTACAGGCACCAGTAATATCTTGTGTCACAGCTACTAAAAGAGCTGGAAAACAATCAGCAGAGCTTGCAGACACGCGGCTCTTCTCCAGCTCGGACACCAGCAGTGAACTGCAAAGCCAGAAGCAAACTGGGAAGGATCAGCCCACCTGGGTCCAGCCTGCGCCATAGACAAGGCAGAGCCGAGGGGTCAGCAGGGGGAAAGCCACAACGTGACTATTTCCGAGGAGAAACCGGTGACTTACAGTTTGTGAAACATCAGTTCTGTGAGTCGGGAAATAATTTTGCTTAATTTTCCCTCTCGGATCTCAAAGGACGTTGGGAAGGAGAACGACTTAAGAGTCACTGCTTGGGAGAAGGAATGAGTCAGTGACAGGTTGGAGAATTTGCAGATTTAAACCAGAAAGATGGTGAGATGGTTTAATCTGACCAGCTGCACAATTCAGGCCACAGAAGACGAACCCCCCTTCCCTCAGCCCCCGTGATACACGCGTGGTCTTGAGCTGAGACTCCCGGAAAGGGGAAGCCACAATTCCCCTAGTTAGTTTGTTTCTACGGTTAATCATCCTTGATATAATTTGTGTGCTAAGAATAGATTTTTTTTTTATACCTTAGTGCCACTTCCAGCTCACCAGAGTACACGGCTTCTTCCTTTTTTTTAAAAAATAGCTACGTCTGAAGGGACCTGAATATTCCTACCAACCTGCAAAAGACAGGCAGGGCCCTCAGAAAGAAACACTTACAGCTTTATTTCAGCACCGAACCAATGAAGTACCAAGAAAGGATGTAATTTAACTGTGTGATGTGTGAGAGCAAAGCTTGTCCTTGGATTTCAAACACTAATTGATCTGTGCTGAATTTAAAACACAAGATGAAAAAAGAAAGCACATCAGGTCCGGCTCCGATTGCTTCTCCTGCCTCGTAGCCAGACCGCGGGAGGCAGAGGGGATGCTGCAGCCTGGGAACCTGGACTCAAAAACTCAACTCAGACCCTCTTTAAAATGAGGGAAGGAGCTTGTTCTCTTTGCTCAAGTGACCAAGAAAACCTGCTCTGAGGACTGCCCAGGTGTAGGTTTTTGAAAAATCACCTTCCTGCCTAAAATGTGCACTTTTCATAACATCCCCAGAAATTTATTAGATTGGTCATTCTGACTTTGGATAATCTTATTTTCTGGCTGCCAGCCTCTCACTGAACTAAGCTGAATTTAGAAAGAATTAGATTGTGAGCAGCATAAAACACCTATTTCAAAGTTAGGTAAGGGGGGGGGGGGGTTGGTGGCCAACCCGCTGTCACTGACAAGCCACCCCAAAGCCATTTGCCAGTGTTAAGCCACAGGGAAGCAGCTGATCCATCACTCCTCAGCAGCCATCTCAGTGCCATCCACCCGACTCTACGTTGTCACATCAAGGCAGGGAGCAGAGCACGGCCTCCAATTTCCCTCCTGCACGATGGGAGATGTGGACCCCCATCCTCGCGGACAAGGCAACCCCCTGATGCGGGCGGTTAGTAAAACGGCGGCGATGAGCATCATCTGCCAAGCAGAGCGAGAGTCAGCAGGACCGAACAGAGCCTCTGGTGGAACCCCTCAGCCAGGCAGGAACACCAGGCTCTGGGCTTTCAGAGGATCCTTTGCCACATGCTGCTTTTGAGCCACAAGCTTCATCAGCCACCCTCGAGAGCAATGAGGCGAGAGGGAACAGCCCAGCCAAGGAAGTGGAGACCTGCCTGGAAGAGTGGAAGAGGGAGGCGAGATGAGCCGGAGGGAAAGCAGCTACAGCTCCTCTGATTCCGAGGGCTTGGCAGGCAGAGAAAGTCTGGCTACGACCCGGGTCAGAGCCCTGTTTTCAGCCAGCAGTTGCTCATTCATCTGCCTCAGAGTGTGAATCTGTTTGAGCTGGTGGAGATTCTGCAAAGAGTGACAGGAGTGGACAGAAAAATACAGAGAAAACACACCACGAAGACAAAAGGGCACAGAAATGTGAATTTAGTCTACAAGCAGTAAAAGAAAAAAAGAGAATAAAATAAAAATAAGTAGCAGTGAGAGCTGGATGGGCAGCAGCTCAGACGCATATGGGGAAAGCCTTACAACACACCGAGGATGTTTTGGGAACCAGCCCTTTCTCCAGCGGCCCCCAAAGCCTTTCAAAAGGTCAAAGAAAGGGATTTCCCACCACAAAGCAGGACAGTTTCTGGCAGGTTATGTTCTAGTTCACCCAGACAGTGAGCTCCAGCAGCGCATAGCCCCTGGACTTCGGAACTACTGTGAGAACTCTCACCACTGACTTACCACCCACGCGGGCTCTGAAAGCACTGCTGGCACTGGGAGTTTCTCTAAAACTCCTTTTCTTCATGTATCTCTAAAAGCTAAACCGGTCTTGGGTAGTGAAGAGCGATCAGAACTTCATGGGAGATTTTAAAGGCACAGACTGAAGCACCTCAAAGCGTCACTGTCCTACAGCACCACCGAGACCCACACCATGTCTGCTCACATCCCTGGATCTGCTCTTGGGTCTGCTCAGGCTTCAGTCCTGCCAAAAGGTCTGGGGTGTGGGCGGGTTTTTCATCCCTGTCCAGATTCAACTCTTCTCTGTCACGGGGCTCAATTTATCTCTGATCTCCAGAGGTGAAAATTCAAGAGCTGAAGCACGTGAGAACATTCTTGGTTACAAAAGAAACAAGTGGGCAAAGGACAGTGTAGAAATGGAGCCCCAAAGCTGGGACTAGCACAGGAACAGCGGCAACAGGGAGACACAGAACATAAAAGCAATGAGGAGGCAAGACAGGAAAATGGGAAAAGCCAAGTGGACACCACCAGTTCTTGTACAAGGACAACATTTTTTTGGGTGATGCTAAAGCAAAAGCATGTGCTGGACATTTACACCAAGCGTGGTGCCAGGACATGCTGAGGGCTGCAGAGCTGCTTTCGGAGCAGCGTCCCGTCCTCCTTCCTCCCAACAGCTCGTTGGGCAGCGGGGCCACATGGACGAGAAACCCTCCACCACAGAGGAGGGAGCACAGACACTGGGCAGAGGGAAGGCAGGAAAGGAAACATCTGTGAGGAGAGCAGTTTCAAGTTCAAGTGAAAAACCCCAGTCCACAACCAAAGCACAAACCAACGTGTTCTTCCCCGTGTCCTCTTCCCTGTGTGCCTGCGATGGCAGGGAGGAGATGGGGGATTGGTCTACTGGGAAGGGGATTCCTTTCTGCCACTTCATCAGCAGAAAGTGCTCAAAGGGAGGTCCCTGTCTGTCCTTAACAAGAAGCTGCACGGGTGATACAAAGAACTTGCATGAACTTCCACCCAATGCTAATGATGTGGAGCTGGCTGCAGTGGGTGAGGAACCTGCTGCATTCCAGGACATTTTGCCCAAGGGCTCATTCCTGTATAAAAGAGAAGCACTTCGTGTAGCCCCCATCCATCAGCTCCATTCTAGCTACCCAAAAGCACCTCTGCTCCCCATTAAGGAATCAAGATACCTTGTCCAAAAGCTTTGCAAAACCAACGGAAGCAAGGCAGGTGAGTGCAGCGAGGGACGGGGTTTGAGCCCCCCGAGGGCATCAAAGTGACAAAGCAGCTCCTGCTACTTGGACAACGCCAACTCAGTTCCGACACTGGACAAGTCAACAGGTCCTGAGACAGAGCTACGGCCAACAAACTGCAGGAGAGCGTCAGGGACACCTCGGCAGCAAGATCCTCTCTCACCAAATCTCAGCCATCCTTCCATCCCTTAACCCGCCCCAGCCTGCGCTCCCCCTGTGCTCGGTGAGGACGCAGACGGACGTCCCACATCTGTCCTGTGATACATCACACCCAGGAGCTGCTGGAAGATGGTTCATACTGGAAGAGCCATTTCTTTTGGTGGTACCATGGATAATAAACGTCCTCTGTTTTATCACAGCTGAGCATGTGGCTGGCAGAAAACATCAAACATATGTAAAGCGGGGTGTCGTGCTAGGCGGGGTGGAAAGGACTGTGATCGCTTTAGAGACCATCTTTATTTTTCCACACCAATATAGCACGAAACCTCGGCACGGCACAATGAGACGCAGCTCAGCCTCAGCACGCTGCCACAGACAATAGGAAAGATCATTTATGTAAAAATGTGTGTGTGCTGCAGGTAGGACAGCCTTCGATTCATCCGAGAAACCTAGCAAAGGCTGGGAAGCTGGGACTGAAGCCAAGGGCGAAGACCAGAATCTGGATGATACCGCTGTGATTGCTTATCACTCTGCTTGATACTTGGCTTACCGAAAGCAGGTTTCTCAGTTCAGCTGTACCTGCCTTCAATTAGAGGATTTTGTGCCTGCAACACTCGGGGAAATAAAAATGCCCAGAGCATGCACAATGTACAAAGCCAGGAGGTGCAGTGCTGCTACAGAATAAAGAAGCTTCTGTGACCTTCAAGAAAAATTGCTGTGTTAAGTTGGGACCTCAGGCACTTGGCATTCAATTCAGTTCAGTGCAAATGCTAATTTTCTTTCTCCTCCCTCAGCCAAGTTGCTTTATCTCCAGTCAAATTCTGCAGTTACTTAGGAAAAGGCTGCACCACTCCGTCACCTTTGCAAGAGCAGGTCTGCAGGAGCAGCTTTGGCATCAAAGATTTCTTTGAGATTACTGAGTTTGTCCTGCTCCTCTCATTTTCCTGACTGCTTCGTTAGCAGGGGTTAAACTCACGACAGGAACAAAGCTTGTTACCTCAAGCATAGCCTGAAGTTGGTTTAGGTTGGCCATGAGGAAAAGGTTCTTGAGGCAGAGGGTGGTGGAGCACTGGAACAGGCTCCTCAGGGAGCTGCTGATGGCACCAAGCCTGACAAGATTCCAGCAGCACTTGGCCAAGGCCCTCAGGGACATGGTCTGAATGTTGGGATTGTCCTGTGCAGAGACAGGAGTTGGTTGGACTCGATGCTCCTTGTGGGTCCCTTCCAGCTCACAACGAGTCTATGATTCTATGATTCTAGGTACAAAGTGCTTCTGTCACAGAAATCCAGGACTGTCCTGTGCCCGCTGCTGTGCCTCCTCTTCCTCAGAAGACAGCTGCAAGAAGGGGAAAGACCTGGCCAGGACATCTGATGCCCAGAACTGGACTCCAGGATCAAACAGCTGGATGTGAGCCACGCTGGACTGGTTCAATTCAAAGACCAGCGGGAAGAGTCCCAAAGCCCACAGTATTACCCCAGACCTCATAACCTGCCATGTTTGGTTTTTTCCTCTTGCTGCTCTCCACAGTAAAGGAAACTGGTGGATTTGCTTAAAAGTCACTTATTCCTTCTGATTCTGCTCAACAGCTCTTCAGCTCGTGCAACGAGGAGGAATGGAAGTCAAAGCTGAATCAATGGATTTGTTTTCCGGGCTCGACTTCCACCAAGGGATTATCTCAGGTGCTCTGTGGAGGTTATCCCATCCTAGGCAAACACAACTGGGCTGACTCTCCCACTTTAAGGCACAATGAAAGTGGATATGGAAAGTGCTTGTCCAGTTCAACGTTTTTATCTTCAGAGATTTTATACTCCTTTCTATTGAGTGGCTGTCAAAAAACGACACGTCACAGTGTACACAGGCACTCACCACATGCTTGAGTTTTTGCAAAAACGAGTGGAAATGTAGTAGCACCTTAGAAGGGAGATTTCAAATTTCATTTCTATTTATTCTACTAACAAAAGGCCACTTTGGTTGTTCACTGCAGCGAGAAAACAGCAGAAAGCAAAGAGTAAGCACAGCTCTCGAGGACCTGATAGCTCATTTTCAGTTAGACACAGGCTCCTCTAGCTCATGTCTCTCAGGGCAATGTAAGAACACGTCAAACTTCTGGCAGTGCTTCTCCTTTTGCACCTTCTTGGCTTCCATCAGTCTGCAGCTCTGGGCTACCCGAACCAGTGGTGCTTTGGCTGCATCCAACAGTTCCTACAGTCACCTTCTTTCATTAATTGCTTTCCGAACCAATATAAATGTTTCAAAGCCAACAGGCCACTAGAGGACACCAATTTGTCTTTTTCCTCCATGGACTGAGCTGGTTTGCAGTGATCTGCATAGCTGAAGAAGCAACTCCAACTGCTGCTGTCTGCATTTTCTCTTGAAGGTCATATTTCTGTAATTACAGGAAGGTCTCTCTGCAGTTAAAGGTTGTTATCTGTTCGGTGAACAAAGAATTTGGAATTTAGGCATATTGAGTCCTTTCTCCTTCCCCTTCTGGCTAGCACATCCACATTTATTTTCTCTTCTGTGAAAGAACAGAAGAGCCTTTATGGTAAGACTCCACCAATCGTTCTACTTGTTGCTGTAGAAGATGCAGCACAAGCCAACGGGTCCCTTCAAAGATGTACGCTCGGTAAATGTATGAAGCTTCAGATAGAAATGTCAAGTTGGAATCTCCTCCAGGGTGGCTGGAAATAATTTCCATTGGTGCACCATGTCGGGAGACCTCACAGCTTTCAGATGGGGTCCTTCCTTCTTAAGGTAGCTTGGTCCCACCTGGGTCATGCTCAAAGGGAATGAAAGTGCAGGACACAGAGCAAAGGGGGGAATTCTGTGAATACGAGCATTAAAATATAGTGGAAAACGATGTAACGCTGTGAAACCAGGGTGAAGTTTTAGGTGCACTTAGGTAGCAAAACACACTGCTCCCTGCTCTGCAGTGCTCCCCGCCAGCCCCGCGCTCGCAGGGCATCCCAGCCATGGCAGGAGGAGACCGTCCTTCGAAGCAACGGCATGAGAGAGAGGAGAACGCGCAGGAGCGGTCGGTGGTGGATGTCCCGTGACAATAAGCCATGCTGCGCTTTTCATCCGGAAACAAATTCCTCTTTGCTGAAATCTATTCCAGGCTGAGGTACTGACACAGCCCCCCAGTAACATGCTTTAGGGGGGGAGCACAGAAACACAATCACGCTGTGTTTTTTTGCTGGCTAGCGTGCGTGATCTCAAAAGCCAGCTTTGTCTTCTTACCCAACTGGAGAGAAACTCAACGGCTTAACTCGGGCTGCAGACTACTCAGAGCACAGAGGATCAGCACACTGAAACTCATCGATACCACAAAAGGTTAGTTTTGGAAAGCAGTTAAGGAGAACAGCTTTCACAGTTCTCGGATCAAACAGCATCACAAATTAAACATACGGTGCAATCAGATGAATGATAATAAGACAGTTCTATTAGTAATTAATCTTCGAAGAACTTGGCCATTAAAGTAAATCCTGTCTGCACAAAGGAACATGCTCAGAGGTAACAGGGGTCCCCTCTCATGTACACCTTTAATATCCTCCTCCTGGGTGACAATACCAAAAGACATTAACACAAAGCATAAAAACAGAACAGACAGAGTGAATAGATTATTTCCTACCTTCATCTCCTCTTCCATTTCAGAGAGTTTCCGCTCCAGGGCTCGCTTCTCCTGTGTGCAAGGATTCATAACGAAGATGGTCACAAGGATTTAGAAGAAAAACTTACAGTACATTTTCTTTTAAAGAATAGTAAGAGTCTTGTATTTCTGTAGGAACATTCACAGAATCACAGAATCGTAGTGGTTGGAAAAGACCTCTGAGTGATCACTGAGTCCAACCATAAACCCATCACTCCCAATTCCACCTCCAACCCATGTCCCTCAGCACCCCGTTTGCCCATCTTTTAAATCCCCCCAGGGATGGTGACTCCCCCTCCTCCCTGGGCAGCCTGTTCCAATGCCTGACTGCCCTTTGGGTAAAAATTTTTTTCCTAATTTCCAATCTAAAACTCCCCTGGAACAACTTGGGGCCATTTCCTCTTCTCCTGTCCCTTGGGCCTTGGTTGAACAGACCCACCCCCACCTCTCTCCACCCTTCTCCAAGGGACTTGGACAGAGCCACAAGGTCTCCCCTCAGCCTCCTTTTCTCCAGGCTCAACACCCCCAGTTCCCTCAGCCAGGAACTCAGCACACTTGTGCTCCAGACCCTTTCCCAGCTCCGTTGCCCTTCTCTGGACACGCTCCAGCACCTCCATGTCCTTCTTGGAGTCAGGGGCCCAACACTGAACCCAGCACTCGAGCTGCAGCCTCACCAGTGCCCAGTCCAGGGGGAAGAGAACTTCCCTGGTCCTACTGGCCACTCTGTTTTTGAACCAAGCCAGGATGCTATTGGCTTTCTTGGCCACCTGGGCAAGTGTCCAAGTGGCAATACACATAAATAATTAAGGTCTTTCAAGGCAGGAATTTAATTTAAACACATGGTTTGACCATCTAGCAAAGCTCCAAAAAATTTAGGAGATGAAACACTTCAGGAGGAACCTCTGCTTCAGGAAACCCTCCAATGTGTAAATGGAAGTTACTGAGAAATTGTAGTCAGGCTCCAGCTTTAATTAACCACTGAGGTAGGTGGTGGGAGAACGAGTAGTAATGGCCACCAGCTGAAGCAGGGGAGGTTCTGACTGATATAAGGGGGAAAAAAAACCCAACCCAACAAACTATGAGGATAGTTAAGAACTCAAAGAAGGGGCTACAGCTGTGGAACCCAACACTCAAGAGTCTTCATGAAATGATGGGACAAAGCCCTGACTAACCTGGTTGACTCTGCTGGGATGCACTATAGATCTCCTCAGATCCCTTCCAATCTGACCTATGAACACTATGGTTCCAATCTATAAAACCTTAGGGCAGAGATTTAACCAGACACTGCCCGTCAGCTCAGCTTACTGCAGTGAATCCGAGTGCTTGATGAAGAGGAAGGAGCATCCACACATTCAGATTTCAAGTATAATCACAAGACAGACACCCGGCTGGTGTTTTGCCTCGTTCCCCCCACCACCCCAAAACAGTCTTTATTTATAAAGATCAAGAATATTTTAAAGCATAATGGACCAACAGTCTCATAGCACAATACAACATAATCTGTTGGTCTGCAGCTTCCTAGAACAAAAGAAAGACATCAGAACTGAGCTGTTCTGCAAAGAGAGCAGGGAAGTCTCAGCTGCTGAAAAGGTCAGAACACAATTATCACTGTGCACTGCTCCACCAGGCAAAAATATAACTTATCTTTTAATTAACACTTTCCTTCAAGAAATTACTATGCCCTGCAGAGCAACATGATGCAATGATTGCGGCTCAGAAGAAAGCAGAGACACGTACCCTTTTCTCCATCTCCAGCATGCTGGACCGGTCAGAAGTTTTCTCCTGTTTCTGCTACGGAAATGAAAACCAGAGAGCAGTGAGAACTGAGAGGCACTGCCAGGAGGCTGCAAAAAGGCCCAGGCAGCTACGGATACACTCGTCTGGAGAAGCAGCCGCCTTCACAGAATCACTCACATTTATTTCTGTGAAAAATAAGTTTCTTCTGTAGCACCTTCCCCCCCAAGGAGCTAAATCCTTTCCAACATTGGAACATGCACTGGTTTGTCACGGGCCGGTGCTCAGTTTCTCCACTCTAGGAGCTGGTTCTTGCCTTACCTGGGCTGCTTTTTCCAACTTTGACTTGATGTCGGCCAACTCCAGCTGAGCTTCTTGCAGTTTTGACTTCAGCTTTTGATTTTCAGACAGGGCACTTTCATATAACTGAAATACAAACCAGAAGATTTCCATGAAGCCGGCTGCCCCTCGGCCGCCGCGCAGACCCGCTTCTGCCGCAGGACTCGGAGCAGACGCGTCCTCAGCACCGAGCAGAGGCAGCTGCGGGGTTCGCATCGCTCCTCCGGGTCAGGGTATTAGAAGAAGAGCAAACAGAACTAGTTTGGATGTTTTACTTGTGTTTTCATAATTCACAGGAAATAAGAAAACAGCTGTTTAATTTTGTAGGGTGTTTAAACACAGCCAAGAGGCAAAGATAAGGGATGTTTTTAATTTAGGGAAAGCACCAAGCATAATAAAGCACTAAGTTGTGTTTGCTGGATGAATCTGAACCTACGACTCTGTTGTGCTCCCCAACCCAACACACCCCAGTTGCTCTTGTGTGTTTTTAGTTTGAAGAGGAGGAGAACAGAGGACAATTTTAGGCCACTCCAAAATGGATTTTTTTCCCTTCAATTCCCTCGAACCATCAGAATTCTCATCCCTCTGCGAGGACAAACCACCTGCCTCTTCTGGACAGACGTGTTCGTGAGGAAGAGCCGGGTGCTGCTTACAGGGGGAGGCTTTTCAGCACCATATTTCAGAATTAAGGTCATCTTAAACTGTTTCCCTTTCATATGGGCTCTGCGTTGACAGTAGATGTGCACAGCAGTCCAGATCGCTGCCTTTCAGGGATTATTTTGAAAGTTTCAGAGATTATAGAAAAAAATAATTCTGTAATTTTACAGCAGCGAAAATAATTCTGTGGGGATATGCATGTTTGAGCCACGCTGACAGGCTCAACAGTATCTTTTCTTGCTCCTTTCAAATCCCTCCCAGCGTTTCTCCAGCCTGACTCCTCAATCGCCCTCCCCCAGATATCTGACTTTGCACCGTGTCCTTTCACCCCCTCTCCTTTTTCCACTCCCTGAAGGGCAGATGCATTTGAAAAAGGCTGGTGTGACTCCCAAAAGCAATGGAAACAGGGAAAATGAAAATCAACTTTTTCTATTTCTGTCCAAAGACTCTCAGTGAAGGTTTCTGCAGCAAGAAGCAGCTTCTGTTCATAAAACCATTTAAAAAATCCTACTTTTTTATAGTCCCTGTTACTCTCCTCTTCTGCTCTGCTGCTGAGGGCAGCTAGCCGGTTCTCCCTCCGGGTGTAGGCACTGGCGCGGCTGGAGGCACGGTCGCTGTAGGAGGAGTCACTGCTGGTAGGGTTCGTAGCTGCTTCCAACCTAAAACGCAATGAAATCCCACACCATGGAGCTGCTGTGACCGTGGGACAGCCAGGACCAGCTCCACCAGCTGGGACTCGAGGCCGTGGCAGACCCAGCCGAGAGCACCCTCCACCCTGTTTATAAACTGGAAAAAAATCCAGTGGGTGTCAGCCCAAACCCCAAACAGGCAGGAATTTCCCATGGACCTCTCATCTCCAGGGTGGGAGTGGGCTCCATTTCTAATAGAGCACAGAGGGTTTTTTCTCTCTGCAGAGTAGCTATTAAATAATTTGGGGAGCAAAAGATGAAAGCAAACTGGCTCAACAGCTGAGCTAAGGTAAAAATCAAATGGCCAGTCCCAGCTTCAGCTTATTTGAATCACAAGGAAGCCCCAAAGCCATACAAAAATATGCTGCCAATAAATATTAAATTAAAAAAAAAAACCCTCAAAAAAAATAAATTTCTTACCTGGAAAGTCTTTCATGCTGAAGGAGAAAAAAAAAGAAAGAAAAAGGGAATTAATAATGAGGAGAATTAAAGGTTCAATTCAAGAACTGCAGAGCTACCACACAGCAGCAGTTTCCTACCTCTGACACCAGCACCCAGCTGACAACAAGCGAATCATCATTATTTCCCATCCCCAACCTGGGAAATCACCGATCCCTGCCTGAATCTTTTCAACTGCTTCAGCTTCTCTCAAGCATTTCAGATTTCATTTCTCCTGCTAACCTAAAAACTACTGAACCTTGTTCTCCAAATCCTAGTTTCCAGAATTGCAATCCATTCCTTTGAACCAAAACTAATCTATTGTTTCCCTTTTGAAATCAAATTATTGTTCCTGACTTTGATCACTGTCCCTCACCTGATGTGGGTGAGAGGGACTGATGGCCCCCGATACCCAGAGCTCGCTGCTATTTATGTCGAACTTCAGGACATCACAAAAGGTATTTTTTTTCTCCATGGGCAAGTACCTCCCCCATGAAGAAAAGCTTCACCGTGGTGAGGAGATACATACACGACGGAAGCTGCACTGGGAACGGAGAGGACCCTTACACCAGCCAAAGGCTGAAATGCGTGTTAGGTTCTTTCCCCAACAACATCCAAATCTCCGTGGTGCCGCCCTCAACGCTGCCTTTGCTGCAGCCCACTGATGCCAATAAACCAAAGACGATCATAGAATCATAGAGTGGTTGGGTTGGAAAGGACCTTTCAAGGCCATTGAGTCCAACTCCCCTTCAACCAGACCAGGTTGCTCAGAGCCTTGTCCAACCTGACCTTGAATGCTTCCAGGGATGGGGCATCTACCACCTCTCTGGGCAACCTGGGACAGTGTCTCACCATCCTCAGTGTGAAAAATTTCTTCCTTACATCTACTCCTAATCTCCCCTCTTTTAAGACCATCACCCCTTGTCCTATTGCTACAGGCCCTGCTGAAATCTGGGCCAACTCATGCACACAGGAGGTTGCAGAAAAGCTTTGCCCGGTGTTGTAACCTCCTCTGGGGCTGGTTGTGGTAAAACACTACTTTAAATGAAGTTTTCTGGAGCGGACAGTTCTTGCCTACAACTGCAGAAATCAAATGGTGACGGCACAGGTGTCCTGCAGGATACACGGCACTAACCTGCCACCTCCTTCTCTGTGAGGTTTCTCCTTTTTGACAGATATTGACTCAAATTCAAGGTGCAGTCAAACTCCTTTTCAGCCCCTCGAACTGGAAATCGAGCCGCTATTCCCCTGCTAGTTTTATTAGCAGCGTCACGGCTCTGAGCGAGCACAAACCACCTGCAGGCACTAACAGTTATTTCCCCAGATCCTTCCTAATAAGAGTCAACACAAGAAGAAGGACGTTTCAGAGAAGACGAGGGCTCAGGCTTTTAGTGCCCAGACATGCACAGCCCAGACACACCACTAAATCCAGTGCCTCGCTGGGTGGTAGATTTGCTGCCTGCCCGGCACCCCAGTGTTTGAAGACTCCAGACCTCCTGCTCCTGCTGGCACCCAGGTGATGCCTCTGATTCCTGGGCAGGTATCTGGGAGCACACGCCATAGGCAGATCAATCAAGTGACCCCATTACATGGGGAAGGAGGGTGGACAAGTGACCCTGCAGTCTCTCTGCTCCGAGCCCAAGGACCACGGGGGCAAGTCCCAGAGTGTCAGGGACGGTGCCCAACCTACCT